CCCTCCCCTTTTCCTGTTTCCCTGATAGCTATAATCTCCAACTATTCCAATGTAATGTCAATCGACGTCTCCAGATGCCCTGATCTATCCCTTAACCTTCTCTTCGTCCTTTTCTCTATCACTCTTATTTGCTTTCGCTCCAACTCTCTGTAATCTTTTGCGTGCTAGTGGATTCCCGCCTTGAGGTGAAACGTTAAAATAATATCCCAGTGAACAGTGAACATGATGTCTAACGGACAAAAATTTCAAAATTCTAGCGCTGTTCGGCAGGATTCGAACCTGTATTTCACGTTTAATACGGAGAAAACCATGCACTTTACCATTAAGTTACGGTAAGTCATTACAGAAAAGGGTCGGTCCGTTAAGCCACTACAGAAGTGTGCGTCTCTTGTTGAAACCTTTCGAAGTATAGTTGTTGACTAATAATTCTATTTGCTAGTTTCATTGGGATCATAAACACCTTTCACTTCAAATTCTAATACGTGTATATCTATTTATTTCAGTCAGTGTAGAGGAATTTAAAAGATGTCAGCGTACAAGCATGCACACACACACACACACTAACTAGCTCGCTCACTCACTCGATCGCGTGCTCGAATTTGTATCTAAGAACTCACTTCACTTTTTTGCGTGTAAAAGAACCTCTGCGGCCATCAACAGTAATTTGCAAGTTTTTTATTTTTAACAGATTTCAAGTAAGATTAAAATACTTAAACTTAAGAGCAACAGTTAACAAGTTGGTCCAGATTATATTAGTCTGTGGAACGAGGACTTTACACTTTCCAGTTCACTTTCCCATTTATCTCGTTTTCTCGCACATGCACGCGACGAAATCACATTTCTTTTCATCATAACAGACAACTGCAAAGAAGGGACTTTTTTACACAATAACTTTAACATTCATACACGCTAAGAAGAATTTAGTTGTAAAAAACATCAAAAAGAAATAAAAAAAAGAATTTTATATTTTAAAAAAATCTTTCTTTTTTGTTGCGGGTTGATTCAAATCCACAACAAGTCTTTTTTCCAGACTAAACTAAGCTTAGTAAATTTCTACTCTGGCACCTGCCGTAAAATGCTGATTTGGTAATTTCGTTTCACTAACCATCGATCCATCAGTTAAACCTACTTCAGTATTGTGATCTTGTGCCAAAGTTGGTTAAACTTAACGAAGCTCCGTTTAAATGTATGATAAAAACTCATCAGAGATTGACCATTTAACCGAGACATTTTTATTAAAAACATGGAATTGAATTATTTTTTTTTTTTAAGATAAAAATCATGGAGTAATTCTCCTGACTTTTCTTTTAGTCAGACGATACAGAGTATGTATGTATTCTAGACCCTTTTTTAGATTTAGTCTAAAAAAAGAGTCTAGAATACTCTGTGTCGCAAGAACAATTTTCTGGTCTTTTTTTGGCAGAAGACGCGTCGCATTCTTCTAGCCCCATTGTTTTTTCATTTTTTTTTTTTTAGACAAAAAATGCTGGACATCTTTCTGGACTTTTCTAGACAAAAGACGCGGAATAAAAGACAAAAGCCGCAGAGCATTTTTCTGATATTCTTAGACAACGCAAAGCATATTTTTCTGACCTTTTTTTTTTTTTTGACAAAAGACAGACCGTTTTTTTTTCTTTTTTGACAGACGTCAAAGAAAATCGTTTCTAGTCTTTATAAATAACGCATTTTTTTTTTTCAAACGACGCAGAGTATTTTTATCCCCGAATTGCTGGAGTTGAATAGCCAAAACTAAAATCTGAAATAAAGCGAATAAAAAAAGAAAGAAATTATTATATATTTCTTATAAACTATACCGAATATCGATTTCTTTAAAATCTCGGATCATTAAATTAGTAAATATGCAACAATACATGATGGAATTAAATTCTGAAGAAAAAGAGGAAGATATTGTTTGAAAATTGTTTTATTATTAAAAAAAAATATGGTAAAATAAATATATTCCATGAAATTAAAATATAAAGGTGTCAAATTCCAGTTAAGTCTGGGAGCGCTACTTGTATTTTAATCAAACGGCCCAAATAAAGTTGAGTTGAGAATGTAGTCATAATTAAAGAAACAGTTTAAAAACTAACGAAAAGATTATTTGTTCTCAGAATTTCAAAACGATTAAAATGTTTCACAGAAAGTTTATTTGACGTGCTTTAGGCAATATATGTAGAATGAAAAAGACATTTCTTTCTTCGTCTTCCAAGATTGTTTCATTTAAAGCTGAACTGATTACATTGCTTCAAATGTTTCCATTTAAAAAAGAAACGAAACATTAAATCAAAATTATCCACAAAACTTAACAGATTTTTGCTAATTCCTGGCATGGTCTGTTGTATTAGTACGACGATCACGCCACCTGTAAATATATGTTTTCAATATACCTTTTCTTCCCTCGTCTTATCCTCTTGCTTACTCTCTATCGCCTTCTCTCTTCTCATTTGCGAATTCCCTTGGCGTTTGTTTTGAAGACAGAAACAATTAGCCTCGTATTCAGTTTTTATTGGATTCTATTAAATTTAATTAAATGAGTTTAGCTATAGTGATGCCAAAGAAATCAAGCAAACGAATGTGAACTCCATCAGACAATCAGCTAGATGATGCCCATAACTTATATTTATTAACGTTCTAATGGATAGACAAGTAAATAGTGCAGTTACAGTATTGCACTTTTCAAGACACAGAAACATCGAATTATAGATGCTGATGCATTGAAGATGCAATGCAAAAGCTGGAAAGAGACCAAGAATTGAAAGCGGAACACTTTCAGGAACCGGCCAACGAGTTCATCTCAAAGAAAGAGAAGCTTAAAAAAAGGAATGGACAACAAATTAAATCCCTTGGAGCCGAGAAAAAAAACCTAAAAAAAACAACACTTCTTGATAAGTAGCTATCCGAGGGGAACTTGCTCTTTACTAATGGAATACAAAGGAAACGACTATGACTCGCCTCAGTCTACGCAGCGTTGTGGGTCTTAGCTAGGGGTCGGGTAGAGTTAGGGGAACAAACGAATGTAGCACGTCTGAACAATTTCCATGGAAATAACGTTACGTTAGCAAGAGGCATGCAATGATATTTATATGGGAAAGGTATTGTAAGGTGGAAAATAATTCATTACCTACAAGTCTCCGTTTGTATTCTATCAAGACTGGAAAGTGAAGAATTGGCAGCTCCTGCCAAGGTATAGCAGCAGTGCCCTAGTTTCGTCCTGATTTGGCTGTTTAAAGCATAGCAGGAGAGGTCAGGTACTTGCTAGAGCAATATAGGGCACAGACCATTTTCCCGGCATATTTAGCAATGGATAATATATACAGGTCTCACTTGAGGTCTGGGTTGAGCTTAAATCCTAACAGACGTTCAAAGTAAGAGAAAAACACCGGTCTTATGACAACCCCAGGTATTTATCCAATAGAAAAACAATTGTCGATCATCGTTAAGTAAAACAAGATGGAAACAAAGACTGCAGATAGGTTTTGTTTGGTTTGGTTTGTTTTACGGCATATCAATCACAATGGGTTATTTAATGCCGACAATTTTTATTGCTGGTAATATATTTTTTCCTTCAAAAATGTATTGCTGATAATAATTTTTCTTCAAAATTTATTGTTGTTAATAATTTTTTACAAAATATTTCTGGTATTAAAGCCACCTTTACAGCTTCATAGTGCCTTGCCTCTAGCCTGGGGGTCAACTATTTGCCCACAGTTCGGACCCTAAGAGGTGCTACCACCCCAGGTCTGGGTGGACCTAGGAACACCAGCAATTAATATGTGGTTCCTCAAAACCTCCTGATCAGAGGCCTTGCTGTTGGACGTAGTTTATCGTCATACTCAGGACGAAGATGTAGTTTATCGTCTTACCCAGGACGCGGATATAGTTTATCGTCTTACCCAGGACGCGGATGTAGTTTATCGTCTTACCCAGGACAGCACTACAGATAGTCAATAAAAAAAACTATTAAATAGTACTGAAAAAACTAGAAAAGTTAACAAAATCACTGCTGGATAGTCTCATGAAGAATGCTGAATGTCAACGTGGTCATATAAAAACGTAAAAGAATGAAACAATGATTTCTTCCAGTTAGTGGGATAGTATACGGCTGTAATATATGTTTTCATTGCCTCCATGTATTCAACATATTCACAAATAAAAAAAAAACGATATCTTCAGCTGTCTTTGCTAACGAAAACCGGCACCCCGTAAAAAAATATAATTATTTTTAATGAGGTTAGCAATAATAAATTGAAATGTATTCCTAAATAAATATATCCTCAAGTGTTAAGACACTGGATGATTAATACCAATAATATAATTAAAAATATTGTTAATTGATTGGTAGGAATATACAGAAATAAAAAAAATATGAGCATAGATAGATAGATAGATAGATAGATAGATACATACATACATACATACATACATATGTAGAGGATAATGAAATAGATAATGAAAAAAACTGATTTAGTCAGCGAACTAGTAGTAAGCGAGATAAATAATAAAAAACGCGAAATAAGTAGATATGAACAGACTGGAAACGATAGATAGATAGATAGATAGATAGATAGATAGATATGAACAAAATAAGATAGATAGATAGATAGATAGATAGATAGATAGATAGATAGATAGATAGATAGATATGAACAGACTGGGATAGATAGATAGATATGAACAAAATAAGATAGATAGATAGATAGATAGATAGATAGATAGATAGATAGATAGATATGAACAAAATAAGATAGATAGATAGATAGATATGAATAGACTGAGAGAGATATGAACAGACTGAGATAGGTAATAAAAAAAACTGAATTAGTCAGCAAGCTCGGATTGATCGAGTTAAATAATGAAAAGACTGAAATGAATAGATAGATTGAAGGCTACTTTGATAAGTAGATAGATAGATAGATAGATAGATAATAAAAAAATTGAATTAGCCAGCAAGCTCGCAACGATCGAGTTAAATAATGAAAAGACTGAAATAAGTACATAGATTGAAGTGTAACGATGAATCTGTGTTAAATATAAAATGATTGAAAGAAGCCATTGGATATTTTGTTTCGTGTCTTTTCGTGTGCTTTGGATTAGGCGACTCTTTATGAACAAATTCCTACGAAGCTATTTCGTTGTCTGTGTTGAATCACACTATTTGCAATTTACATGGAAGCAACACATGAATTCGTCCACACGCGAATGACAAATGGACAGATGTAGAGTCTCCCCGCCCTCCGATGCTGTGGCGGGACGGAAAAGGGTTGTATGGTCACCTGGAAAACTTTGATATTCAACCGCTTCATTAAGGCTCTTTTGTCACTAGATCACGATCATTTCCTCTCCCTCGAGAATTTCAGAACAGAACCTAGAAGAAGGTTAATTCCTATTACTGACCAGGAAAACGTAGATAGATAGATATATAGTAATAAAGACGGAGATAGATAGATAGATAGATAGATAGATAGATAGATAGATAGATAGTGATAAAGACATCGACACATTGATAATAATAAATATATAAATAGACAGTAATCTCAGTCTCTTCCGTATCTATCTATCTATCTATCTATCTATCTATCTATTTTGGTCTTTATTAGTATCTATCTATCTATCTATCTATCTATCTATCTATCTATCTATCTATCTATCTCGATCTTTTGCTCTCCCTGGACAATTTCAGAACTAAAACTAGCATATGGTTAATTTCTATTACTGGCCAAACTTATATCGCAATAAAGATGGAGATAGATAGATAGATAGATAGATAGACAGATAGATAAAGGGACATGGCCCTCAATGTTAACTGTTAAATCAAACGTACAATAAATTTGATAAGAGACGCGCTCTTTGTGTTTCTGTTTCTCCTCCTCCACGTTTTTTTGGTCTACTACATATCTGGATTGAGTCTTGTTTCGACGGAGAAAGGTGAAGAATGGAATTTAGGGTCACTTGAAAATAAACAGAATGACCTCCCAAGAAATAGTAAGAAGGGAATTTGAGATTGCTTGACAACAGACAGAATGACCCTCAAAGAAAGGGAATAAGAATAATTACCTACGCTCTCTGACATATATCCCCAAGTGGTATTTTCGTATTGTAATTTAAGTTTCTCAGTGACCTCCGACGACAGTAGTTCTAGAGAAATTAGATTGTCATCATACGATCTTAAGGGATGAGAAATATACCCACAAGCCTATTCTATTACTTGTGTATGAAATAAGGAAATTTCATAACCGGAATTGTTGGATGAATTTGACTATTTAATGGGTAAAGAATAAAGGAATATTGTATCCAAATAAATACAGAGGCATCATCGTGATTTCATCCAATTAAGCAAGGGGAAACGGAACAGAAATACTATTCTGGAATCCTATATTTCAAATTGCGGAAGAAAGATCAACCAATTTTTGTGGACATTCTACAATCTACAGTAAATTCGTTCGTCTGGCATTACTAATCTTCGGACACCAAATTCCTGAAATACAAACGTTTGAAATGACATCCAATATCAGTGAAGTGTTCTTTTATTAATTGTATGTCTGTTACTCCATACTTTTCCAATATTTTATATTTCGTATATTGTTACATAAAATTTATTTACAAAGTTAATCTTTTCTTGTTCGTCGGTAACTGGTCGTGTGTTCCTATCTGAGCGAACCCACTTTTATGTTTTCTTTGCTTTGTGAATCTGGGGTTAATAACTTTATACGTTGCGAATTCGTAATAATAGTAATAAAGATAGATAGATAGATAGATATGAACAGTATGAGATAGATAGATAGATAGATAGATAGATAGATAGATAGATATAGACAGAATGAGATATATATATATATATATATATATATATATATATATATATATATATATATATATATATAGATAGATAGATATAGACAGAATGTGATAGATAGATAGATAGATAGATGCAGAATGAGATAGATAGAGGCAGAATGAGATAGATAGATAGATAGATAGATAGATAGATAGATAGATAGATAGATAGATAGAGGCAGAATGAGATAGATAGATAGATAGATAGATAGATAGATAGATAGATAGATAGATAGATACAGAATGTGATAGATAGATAGACATAAACAGAATGAGATAGATAGATAGATAGATAGATAGATAGATAGATAGATAGATAGATAGATAGATAGATATGAACAGGATGAGAATGATAGATAGATAGATAGATAGATAGATAGATAGATAGATAGATAGAAATGAACAGAATGAGAATGATAGATAGATAGATAGATAGATAGATGAGCAGTATGAGATAGATGGATCGTAATAAAGACATAGATTGATAGATTGCAATAAAAACACAAGTAGTAATAAACATAGTAATCTCAGTCTATCTATCTATCTATCTATCTGTCTGTATGTCTGTCTGTCTATCTATCTATCTATCTATCTATCTCACACTATTCATTATCTATCTATCTATCTATCTATCTATCTATCTATCTATCTATCTATCTATCTGTTGTGGTACGATCCACCTAATTTACATAAGTGGAGTACCGACCATATAAATATGGGTTGGTACCGGGAAGACGGAGGAAGTAAGAAGAGATCCAATCGAGAGACTCTGCCCGACTGCGATTTAGTCAACCCATTCTGCAGGAACAGTCTTCCCAAGAATATACCAAAACTAACTGTAAATATTGTGTACCTTTTCCTTGTTTCAATACATTTTGTTTACGTACATTTTGTGTTGTATTTTTATTATTCCATGCTTATCCAAGCTTCAACACTATCTATCTAGACAACATATCCATAGACAGAAAGAAATACTTTCTCTCTCTTCCTGTCTCTGTTTCTCTCAGATTTTTTTGTCAGTTTCTTTTTTGTATGTTTTTTTTTTACTTATTTTTCTGTTATTGGTTTTTTTTTTAATGCTTTCCTCTCGGCTCGCTCTTGAATCTTTCGTTTCTCCTGAATTATTATTGATTCGTACATTTTTTTTTATTCTTTTTAATTTATTCTTTAATAATTTTCGTTTTTTCTCTGATATTCTATTTATATTTCCTCAAGTTTTCAGCGCATATGATCTAATGGCGGGAAAACACATATATCAAATTTGCTTGGGGCCAACCTTAAAAGTACCGTCGGCACCCCAATCCTGAGAATCACTGCTTAAATTCGTGAGTTTTGTTCATGCCCTCTCGCTGAACTCTTGCAGCCGTAACAAATACGCTGTTATTTTAAACATAAAATAAACCCACATAATATCATTGCGATAAATCAGCACGCCAACAAATTGACCCTGAGTTTTACTGATTTGTTTTTTACGGTATATCAACCATTTTGCAGGTTATTTAAAGCCCGAAAATATTTTTTAGATTGTGAGAATTTTTTTTTCTTTACGATAATAATGATTTACTCATTAAGTTGTATTAATTAACCCATATCTGTGGCGCTGAGTTGAATCCAAATTTTTTTCAAGGATATTTGCTCATAAGTGAATATGACGAACCTGGCTGGAATTTTAACTAGATAGATAGATAGATAGATAGATAGATAGATAGATAGATAGATAGATAGATAGTGTGATATAGATAGATAGATAGATAGATAGATAGATAGATAGATAGATAATGAATAGTGTGAGATAGATAGATAGATAGATAGATAGATAGATAGATAGATAGATAGATAGATAGATAGATAGATAGATAGATAGATAGATAGATAGATAGATAGATAGATAGACAGACAGATAGATAGATAGATAGATAGATAGATAGATAATGGATAGTGTGAGATAGATAGATAGATAGATAGATAGATAGATAGATAGATAGATATTACGATCTTTTGCTCTGCCTAGCATATGGTTAGTTACTATTCCTGGCCAAACTTAGATACATAGATATTAATAAAGACGAAAATAGATTGATAGATATTAATAAAGAGAGATAGATAGATAGATAATAAGGACAGAGACCGATAGATAGATATTAATAGTTCCGAGTTGTCGACCATTACACCATCAGGAGATCCAGACCTGGCAGTTCCAGGCGGTCATCCATCTAAGTACTGAGCAAGCTCGACGTTACCAAACTTAAAAAGATGCTTTAAAGTTTATTCTACGGTGCATTACTTACCGAGTACCATCAAGGCATTTGGGGCTAGAAATGGATAAAGCTTTTGTTGTGTAGAAAGACCACCGGCCTTCTCTACCCTAACTGCTGAAGATGGATACGTCCGTCCGCTATGAGAAGATCGTCATTTTTTTTATTATTATTTATTTATTTTTCTGAAGACCTTCAAAGATACATTGCAGTCTGCAGGAATTGCCATGTTAATAAGAGAGCACATTCTGTTTTTGTAGTCTTTGATTCCTATGCCTGTACGACTATTGTTCGATATGTATGTGTTTGATTGTTCTACATGTATGTATATAGGTATTGCAAAGTCTCATAAAATTTTTACAGGTCCTATCTTTGTAACTGGGTCTGCAATTTCCTGCAGTTTCTTCTCGTAACATTTGCAGATTTTCCAATGAAGACATTTGTCCACTTCTGTCATGCCGAGTTTTATATTCAGTGGAGGCTAATGCTATTATAGTGCAACCTGATACAAGATGGTCAATTGTTTCTGGATATTCATAACAGACTCTCCATTTTTTTTTCAGTATGTTTACTTGGTAATTTCTAGTTAGCCAAGCATTGTTCCTGTGGATCAGGAATAAAATTTTCAATCTTCCTACTACTACTGCTATTACTACTATTATATAGCATCCACCGATTTCGAGAGGCCTTGGATTTGCGTCCAAAGAGTTATGTCTCAGTTGCTGACTGCAGTGCAGCATCGGTTATGGTCGTAAAAGTCCACTCGTGATTGGCAGTCTCGACTGCAACGGATGCATGCAAAGACGCTTTCCCGCAATGTCGCCATGTCATTTTTTTTTCTCGTCGAGCACGCTTCTTCTCGTCGGCAAACCCCCGTTTCTCTTCTCTTCGTTACAACCCAACTCCCG